GGTTGACTACAGTGCTGCACGTAGTCCAAACACACCGGGCAGTCGAACCGAGCCGTCAGCTCGGGGGCTGGTCTGGGTAGGGCTGGGTACCGAACTTCGGTTCTTTTATGGTACCGACCGAAATGCTTCGGTTCTACAGAGTATCGAAACGTGCCTCGTCTTTCGGTACCAAGTTTCGGTGATTGGCTGTAACACTTAGCGTGATTGCGTCATCCAGGAAAAATACACAGGTGGTCACGCCTACAGCCAGGGTTCATGTGTATCTGTTGTGAACTGGTTGCGTGCGTCGTGGAAGCCCTTTAAAATGCCCCCCAGGTCAAAAGTGCGGCTTCACTTTATTAACACTGATGCCAATAGTGCGCAATGCAATACATCGTGCACGGAAACAATTTAATCGCAGAAAGTTGCTCTGTGTTTGACTGCAAGAAGAGCGGACCGCAGCCGGCGCGACCATCCTCCTCTCAGCAGCCCGTGGGCGGAGCAAAGCAAGAGCGGAGTGAATCATGCTGCTTTCAAACTGGACGCAGCAGGAGCAGCAAAATCACGTCTGCTGCTTCCACCAGTTAGTTCTGACGCGCGGCTGAAGAAGCTTTGCTGCTCTGGCTGCGTGGTCGAAAAAAGTGGCTCTGACGCGCGTTGGGCGGAGCTACTCTATCCTTTATTTGCCTTGCAGCTATATTTGCTATTATTAGTGGGAATAAAGTAGTTTTTTATGTTTTTAAGTGGGAAAATCCACCTGAAAACTTAATCAGTGCAGTCAGTTCATCCTGCCTTCCAATATTTCTGTGGGAGCCGCTCAGACCCCCACATACCAGCGGTGCGCTGTCAGTAGGATCCCATTCAACGGGCTTGTTTGTCAGACATGGTAATTTTTCTAAAGGAAAACTGTTAATTAAAAAGGTCCTCACAATGTAACAGTGAATATTAGACACTGATTTTTTTTTTTTTATGTAAGAGGAAAAATGTAAATGGAAAAATCAGAGCTTTAAAATAAAACTCAAGATTTGTACTTTTTTATGTTGCGTAATTTTCTTTTTCTTCGAATTGATATTATAAAACTGGTATCGAAAAAAGTATCGTTCAGGAACCGGTATCGAAGTGAAGGTATTGGTATTGGTACCGGAACCGAAAATTTTTGAACAATACCCAGCCCTAGGTCCGGGTACCGGTGACGGTAGCCTGGACACATGCGGCCCTGTGCTTCCCCCCTCCTGCCTTACAGGCCCACTCGCCTCATGGCCCTCTGCTGAGGTCCGGTCAAGTCGGCGGCGAGTTTACATCAACTCAGGGCTTTGTGTGAAGTCGCCCGACGACACTTTGTTTTTAAAAAAACCGCAGATGTCTGGGGAACAGTGATTCGCCTACATGGTATAAATGCCGGCGCACCATAAATGATAAATTATGAACAGTTTAGTTTGTGCCTTCACGTCGTTTGCCCATAGGAAGACGTTACTTGGATATAACCTAATGGAATATCTTCAGAAGAGCTAGAAATGACACAAAACTGGGTGAGTAGAACATGATGTAATAACGTCCAAATGGGCCAAATGTAAAAAAAAAACGGCGTTCCCCTTTAATGCTTTTTAATGCTCTTAGAAATAACTTTATTGCCATCAACAAACACCCATGACTCTCATATATATATATATGTATATATAACACTATATATATATATATATATATATATATAACACAGTAAATCCATTGTCATCTTTACTGTCAACAGGCTGCAGCCATGCCCTGAATTCCTTGTTTTCCTTCCGTCCATATATCGTGATATAATATATCCGAAGAAATTGTTTTTATAAACTTTTTTTTATTAAATACAGCATTTTAAATCCCATGATAAACACATTTTATGATTTTTAATGCCAATTAAGGCCTTGATTTAAAAAATAATAATTTAATGAAATTTAATGATTTTTACTGACCCGTGGAAACCCTGGTATGAGTAACTTATGTCATCCAACATGTTTACCAGAGCAAAGGCTCATTATTCACGCAAAGTGACACCAAAAACACAGGGAAAACACAGAAACTTCAAAATAAAAGCACCAGATTCAGTATACAGAAAGGTATACAGCGATGAAGGGATCACATGTTCTTATCTGGACCCACACCGGTCACTACAGGATGCCAGAAGAAAATAAAAAGATAAAAATGTTATTTCTGTGTTACACAGACAAACTGATAATCTTGATCATCTAGTTCCTGTTTGACCCGTCGACCAATCTGCATGTTTTAGACGCCTCAAACCTCAAACAGACGATTCAAACCACTGCTTGACTTAAGCAGCCTGCTGACCGTTCATTCATGTAAGGAAGGAAAAAAAAACAACTCTCAAACATAAAAAGGCAGCGGGCCCAGAGGTCCAGGATCTCACCTGCCCCAAAAATGTGATGTTTTTCAGTAGTTTAGCAACAATCAAAGGTACAAAGCTGATGCCTTTTTAAGCAGTATAAACCCTCCGATGATTGGTCTAATGTGGCTCAACAGGAGGAGAGGAGAACTTCAGATTTCTGGACATTTTGCACCTTTAGCAGGTTGCTTCATTACTAACTTTGCTAGCATCCAAATGATGACTTTCTTCATTATGCAAGCATTTAATCCAAGATTAAGGGCAGATTAGAATTCAGCAACCGCACACATATATATAACTCATTTACTCTACCCTTGAAAAACCGTGCCGAGACTGGTCCGAGCTCAGTAACTGAGATAACTTAAGGTGTGTAAATGGAAAGCAAACTGAACTGAACCGAGCTAGACAACACCGAACCGAGCTAACTGCAGACCAGTTCCAGAGGTGGGCTTGGCTCAAGTTTTTCCCTGGCTCGGTTCTCTGATAACAAGAGCGCATGAGCAGAACGCCTCATCTCCGTCTGGTTGCACGTCCCGATTCACACTCCATTCCAGTAGTTGGCGGCAATGCCCCTCCGGAAGTTGCTTGCCAACCAACACAAAACAGAAGAAGAAAAAACTATAAACAACAATCGAAATCTTCTCCACGCAACATTTTGATTTGCTTGATTCCCTCCTCCTTCATCTTTTCTTCTTGTGTTTTATGGCGGTTGGCAAACAACTTTTGGTGCATTACCGCCACCTTCTGCATCAATACTGGCAGTAATACCGCAGATCGTCACTAGGAGGCGAGGAGTCTAGGAACCGAGATAGCGTGTTGTGTAAACGGTCGTCAGAACCAAGCTCGGCCCTGTTAACTGATCTGAGCTCGGACCGGTCTCGGCATGGATCGGTTTTTAAAGGGTAGTGTAAATGGGGTATAAATGTTGCTTGGGTCTGAACCAGTTCGGCTGGTATGCTTCTGCACCGTCGGTCTGGAATTACTAGGGACACAAAGCAGTTTTCCACAAAAGCACAAGGGGGAGCCTATTCCAGAACTCACAAGACTTTCAGTGGATAGTCACGAGAACTTCAACGACGCCGGCGGGAGTGTTTATCTTCCAAAACAACAATGGCGCGCCTGCAAGATATCACGGTCACAGAGATGGATCTAGAGTTGCTAGACATCGAAGAAGAACAGGTTCTATTAAGGGAGTTGGCAAAAAGACAAAGGAGGACACGTAGGTTGTCCATCGTAGTTGTTCCTCGGTTTTTAAAAATGGCGCGCCCCAGCACCGAATCAAGAAGGACGACCACACGGACAGCCGAAAAGGCATACCAAGGACCAATCACAGCTGCTTTTTGTCTGCGCACTTCCGCTTGAGGTCTGCACGGGTCCGAGGCGTAGTCAGGAATTTTTTGAGGCGGTGCGTCAGAAGCATAAATTGGCCTTTTTTTTTTTTTTTTTTTTTTTTTTTTT